GCGGAAGGATCGCCGGAGCCCAGCAGGTCAAGGCTGCGGTGGCCGGGAGCGGCCACTGCACTCCAGTCTGGGTGACAGAGTGAGACTCCAACTCAAAAAAATAAAAAAATAAAAAAAATTCTAACGGATTATTTTATTACATAAACAAATTTTAAAAACCACAATGACAACTAAAAAAAAAAATTCAGGAGTTATGCTTCTGGCAGTATGGCAGACAAGAGAGCCTGAATTACTGTCCTGATAAAAAAATAAGCGAAAAAGACAGATGGGATATAAAATACATTGCTTTGAATCTGTCATTGAGCTGGCAAAAAGTAAAAATAACAAGAACAACAACAAAACAAACCGAAACACAACCCAAGTAAAGAAATGTAGTCCCTGAAGCCAGCTTCCACCCTGGGGTTATTTATGGAACCCCAGAGATCCTGAACTTTTGAGCCCAGCATGGAACACAAAAGGCGAGACACAAAACCTGGAGTCCAACCAACCTTGGGAGTCCAGGAGAAGATCTCAAATAAGGCAGGAAATGTCTATGTAAAGGTGAACTAGAAATAAACCTGTGGTTTAGAAAAGAAAAGCAAGGAAACTTGCCTCTGTTAACCATGGTGATATGTGTGGAAGGAAAGAAAAATATCTCTCCTGAGAATCTGCAAACATAAGTTGATCAACACATGACTTTGGGACTGAATTCATGCTACCTGTATGGCCCTGAAAACCTCAAGCATAAAATTTAATTCAAAGTTGTCTTGGGTTGGTTGCATCTCCAGGCAACAGAGAGAACTAACACAAATCATCTCTAGCAAAGAGGCACCAAGGAGTTCCCATAAAGAACAGTTCAAGGAATATAAGCTCACAGTTAGTACACACACACACACACACACACACACACATACACACACACACACACACACACACACACACACACACACACACACACACACACACCAAGGAGCTAGACATCACGAGTGAGAACAGTAGAAACAACAAATGACTAAATCAGACCCACAATTACCTTAGATATAGAATTATCAGTCAGATAATACAATATAGTTATGTTTAATATATTTTTAAAATGAAGACTTGGAATACAGTAAGATTAGACTATAAAAACAACAAAGGAGACTTAAAAAGCACAGAATTTCTAGAAATGAGGAATAAAATAATTGAATTTTTAAAATTATTTATTTATTTATTCATTTTGAGCCAGAGTCTCACTCTGTAGCCTAGACTGAAGTGCAGTGGCACACTCACAGCCACAGCAGCCTTGACCTACTGGGCTCAGGCGATCCTTCTGCCTCAGTCTTCCAAGTAGCTGGAACTACAGGCATGCACCACCATGTCTGGCTAATTTTTAAAAATTTATTGTAGAGATGAGGTCTCATCAAGTTGCCCAGGCTGGTCTCGAAATAGAATGGAAATTCAAAAACTTCAAAGAATGGGTTAATCAGCAGATTAGAAAAGTAGAGACTATTAGAAACTAGAAGATAGATATAAAGAAATTACCCAGAATGCAGCCTGGGGAAACAGAGATAGGTAATGTTAAAGAATAAATAAAATATATGGAACATAGACTAAAGTGGTCTAAATACATCTAATCAAAGTTATAAAAGAAGGAAACAGGGAGAATGTGACAAGAAAGATAATATTTGGAGAGACAGTGACAGAGAATTTTGGAGACACCATCTTACAGATTTAAGAAGCCTGAAATCTCAAGCAGAATGAATAAGAAGAAATCCATACCTAGATATAGCAGATAAACTTCAAGACACTAAAGACAGAGAATACCTTAACAGCAAACAGAGAAAAGATGAATCATCTAATGAAGAATGACAAACTAATCTATAACTACTGTTGATTTCTCAACAGCTACAACGAAAGCTAGAAAATGGCCTGAGAAAAAAATGAAAACTTAAATTCTGTACTAAACAAAACCATCTTTTAAAAATGAAGTTTAAAATAACAAGCTTAAAATAAATATATTTTCAAACAAATAAGACCTAGGAGATAGACCTTCACTGAAGAAAATAAAAGACATCCTAAAGTATATATTTTAGACAAAAGGAAAATGATTTCCGATGTTAAGGTCAGAGATACAAGAAGGAAGAGTGAGAAAAGACATTGGTAAACATACAATTTCAGTGCAACTGCAATTAAACTCCCAATAGATCTAAAATGTATATGGAGGAGCAAAGGTCGAATCATAGCCAAGATTCTCCTGAAGAAAAAGAACAAAGTAGGTGGACTTTCCTTACTGGATATCAAGACTTGTAAAATTAAAATAATAAAGGCAATCAATAAAAGCAAATAGACCAGTGGACATAATAAAGATCCTATCAACTTGATTTCTGATGGGAGAGGGCACTACAGATCAGTAGGGATAAGGAAGAACTGTTTCATCAACAATGCTGAGAAACTAAAAGCAAGAGCCACAAAGGAAAATACGATTACGTCTTACTACATTAAGTTAAGAATTTCTGTTCATCAAAAGACACCTTAAAAATAAGACAAGCCAAGAACTAGGAAAAAATACTTGCAACACATACAACTGAAAAAGGATTACTATCCAGAATATTTAAAGAACTCTCACAAATCAATCAAAGGCAAACAAACCAGAAAAAATATGAGCAAAGGACACAAACAGGGATTTAATGGAAGAAGAAACACAGAGATCCATAAACATATTTAAAACATGCTAAACTTCATTAGGTAATCAGTGTCTTTAAGTTCAAATTTAACTCACAAAGTGACCTATTATATCCAACGGTTTGGTGAAACTTAAGTTGTATAATACAAAGTGTGGATGAAGATGTAAAGCCATGGGAACCCTCATCTCTACTGGTGGTAGTGTAAGTTTATGTAACCACTATGGAAAACAGTTTGGTGTCTCATAGTAAAGCTGAACATGTGCATATCCTAAATCAACCAATTCTACCCTTAAGTACACATCCTAAAGAAATGCTGACACACATATGTCAGGAATCATGTGCAAGAATGTTCATGGTAGTTTTGTTTATAACTGCACAAAACAGTCCAACAATCATTAATGGTGGTATGAATATATAAACTGAGTTATATACTAGAAATTCCATTCTATATAATGGAATACCATGCAGCAGTGAGACACAAATGAAATATAATTTCATGCATCAACATTACTGAATCTCAAAAAATGTTGAGTAAGGGAAGCAAAGACAGAATACATGAAATATGACTCTACTTATGCAAAGTTCAAACACAGGAAAACCAAGCAATATATATTGTTTAAAAATATATGCAGAAGTTAGCCTGGGTAACATGGTGAAACTTCGTCCCTACAGTTAAAAAAAAAAAAGAAATTAGCTGGGTATGGTGACATGTGCCATTGGTCCCAGCTACTTGGAAGGCCGAGGCGGAAAGACTCTACATTAACCAGCAGGTCGAGGCTGTGATGGCTGTGAGCATGCCACTGCACTCTAGCCTGGGCGACAGAGTGAGGCTCTGACTCAAAAAAAAAGAGGGAGAGAATATTACAGCTACCTTAGAATACCCAGGGTTCCCCTCTCCAATCATATATCCCTCTTCCTGCATGGTCACCTCTACCCTAGCTAATACATATCCTGAGTTTTGAATTCCTCGTTTTCTTGTAAATAAATGTGTCATGCCGGTTAATTTTTCTTGATTTATTGTAGAGATGAGGTCTTTCCAAGTTGTCTAGGCTGGTCTCAAACCCCTGGGCTCAGGCAATCCTCTCACCTCCACCTCCCAAAGTGCTGGGATTACAGTCATGAGCCACTGCGCCCAGTCCAATATTCTAACTCTTAAACTGGGGAGTGGGACATGTATGCTCATTTTGTTTTTCAAATTGTACAATACATTCAATATATCAGGTGTCTATATGGTATATTTCAAGGGAAAAAAGCAAAAATGTTTTTCTGGACATCATGAGGAAAAAACTATAGGTCAACCGGAAAATAATTCACCAATAATTTTATAATAGACTACAATTCTTTATTTCTGATCCATTATATACATTTATCAGCATAATATATCAAGGCAGGATTCAGCCAAACTTAGAAACAGAGCTTACACAGAAGGACTGGAAAATAAATATGAACACGTGAGATGCTATAAAAAGCCCTATAGGCTGGGCTTGGTGGCTCAGCCTGCAATTCCAGCACTCTGGGAGGCTGAGGTGAGTGGATTGCCTGAGCCCGCGGGTTGGAGACCCAACTGGGCAACTTGGCGAGATCTCGTCTCTACAATAAACCAAAAATTAGCCGGGCGTGGTTGCACACACCTGTAGTTCTGGCTACTTGGAAGGTTGAGGTGGAAGGATCGCTGGAGCCCAGCAGGTCGAGGCTGCGGTGGATGGGTGACAGAGTGAGATTCCAACTCAAAAAAAAAAAAAAAACCCTATAACATTATGGACCACTCCTCTGTACCTCACAAGTAAAAATACCTCAAATTACTTAACAAAGTTAAGCAGAGAAGCACTGAAGCTTCTATGCAAGCACACAACATCACATGCCAGAACTGATTAAGCAATAGAAATGTACCTCAAATGGCTGACATTGACCTCTAAACTATACTTGGAAAAAATAGGTCCGGGCACAGTAGCTCACGCCTATAATCACAGCACTTTGGAGGCTGAGGTGAGAGGACTGCTTGAGCCTAGGGGTTCGAGACCAACCTGGGCAAATTGGCAGGCCTTCATCTCTACAATAAATTAAAAAATTAGCCGGGCGTGGTGGTACACGCCTTTGGTTCCAACTGCTTGGAAGGCTGAGGTGGAAGGATCACCCGAGCTCAGCAGGTTGAGGTTGCGATGGACATGAGCGTGCCACTGCACTCCAGCCTGGGTGACAGAGTGAAACTCTGACTCCAAAGAAAAAGAAAAGTAAAGAAAAATAGGATTCATCTGCTACATGTATTTACTTTGTTTTGCTTCAGAAGAACTGACACCTGCTCCAAGTTGCTATTCATGGAATGCAATTCTTTTGCAAAGCAGTACAAATGCTTACCTGTGTTTGACCATTTTTTGATTGTGGCAAAAATGACTAAAGAATCTTGCATAGAACAAATGCATGACAGCATGTTCTTTCCCACCAATGTACAAATCCACAGGCATCCAGTAATCTGCCAACGCTGTGTTAAAAGGGCTGGAAGAAAGAGAAATGGGTATTTTTTAAAAACCTGCTTTGACACAATTGTGTAAATTAAACAGACCTATTGTAATGTGCATATGCCCTGAAATAAATTATGTCAGAGAAAAATAGTGGCTTTCTATTATTATAATAAGAGAAAAGCTTATATAATAAAAGAGAAAAAAACGGGAGACTGAGGCAGAAGGATGGCCTGGGCCTAGAAGTTGAGGCTGAGGTGAGCTGTGATCATGCCACTGTGCTTTAGCCTGGGCAACAGAGTGAGGCCTTTACTCAAAATAAATAAATACATACATACATAAACACATAAAAATAAAAGAAAAAAGGTCAGATCAGTGCTAATTTACAAAATTTAGGAAAACAGTTACAGAAGACATTACTGATATATTTTAACAAACACAACTTGTATATAAAATGAAGACAAGAGGAAACATACCAACAATAAAAGGCATCTTGGTATAATGCATATCTGAATATCTAGATTTACTTTAATTTTTATTATTATTAGACAGTTGAGATTTTAGAGTTCTTACCAATAGAGGGCAATGTGGCATTTACAATGAAGACTAACATGAAGATACTTAAGTGTTTATTTTAAATTAGATGTTCAATCTTATTTTTAAAGTTAGCCTTAAAATACAGACAGTCAGCAAGAGCCTGTGTATGGCTTACTGAATGCAAAGAAGCATCCTTAGGCTAAGCAAATTGTTATAAAATAATAACTCACTCTCACCCAATAGATACTATTTAGCCAACAGATAAGAAAAGCTTCCTCATATTCCCCAGTCCTAAGGGACTCTGGAGAGGGAAAAAAAATCACTTCCTCAGTTTTCTGGCTGGGACCCTGGGGGAGGGGGTAGCATTGGTTGGGGACAGGGTTCTCACTCCCAAGGTAAGGACCTTCCTTGAGGTCAGCCAATCAAGGAAACCTCTGCCTTTGGAGGATTTCAGGTATTTGTGAATTTTCTCCCCTGCACCTCAAGGCACTTTTCTCTCAGTATGGACTCCAGCTCTGGGGTCAGATAAGCTTGGTCACCATCACACATTTGCTGTCTTAATGTAGCTTCGTGTTGTCTCCTCTGGTCACTGTGCCAGAATTCTGGTAAAATTTTAAAAGCTTTTTTTTTTTTTTAATTTTGTGAAAAATGGTTCCCTAAAGAAATTCAACTGCCAATCCAAGCGACAGGAAAGGGAAGTAAAGTATGGTATTTAGTCGGAAAACAAGTTTGGGATAAATTAAGGAGTGAAATGTTGGAGGTAGCTATAAGTGGGATTTACGATACACCCAGGAAAGCATCCTAGTGAGACCACCAGCCAGGGCTGAAACTAACGATGGCATGTCATGAGGGAAATGAAGTACTCTGAGGTATTCACAAACCAGGGGCTGTGAAGGTCTCAGGAGGTATCTCCCACCAGACAAGGGTCCCCCCCCACTTTAATCTGGAGTCTCTCCCATCTGTAGGAAGGCTTTGCTTTAAAGCACTGTGAGAAGGTAAAGAGCCTGCCCTCACTTGCATTCTAAACCAGCTGTTCCTAAATGGAATGCTTTTACCTACAGGGTTCCTTCCAGGTGGAAGATCTGGGAAGAGGAAGTCCCTCTGTAGGCCAGACAGGGCCATACTGGTGGTTCCCAGCCCCAGGTGTCACTATGTACCCTTTCTACCTTTTGGGGTATGGTTTACCCAGGATTCCACTCATTTCTGAAATGAACTCAAATATAGAATCGCAAGACTACAGGTCAGGATTCTGGCAGGGAAGGGCAGGAGCACTGTCTTATTAGAAACAGATAATGCACAACCAATGAAGAATAACGAGTCATTTTCATATGTAGACAACAGGGTTCCAGAGTGTTTCTGCCATGGACACGAGCAATTCTGCAAGGTCCTTTTAAGCACAGTATTGTGTTTTTTCCTGGAATAGTTTCCTTTAGCTCTCATTCTTTCTTTACCTAGCTACTCACTGTTCTTCCCTTCATTTGTTTCTTCTTCTTTCTTTCTCTTTATTTTGTCAAAGAAACACATGAATACAGCTGAAAAATCAAACTGTACTGAAAGGTTTGAAATGAAAAACAGTGGTCTCTAGCGCTGACTCTTTCCTTCCCCTCAGGTCTGTCGCTTAGCCATTTGTAAATCTGTTTGCTTTTTCTCCTGGCAATTATTTAAAAATATGTTTATCATCTTTATTGATTTATCCCTTTGGGAGATTTTCTATGGGTTGTATCTGATGAAAGACAATGCTCCCCTCCCACACACACTTCCTGTTTGCTTACATCATTATTTTCAGTTAAATACATAACATCACATCTTTACAATCATATACTTGCAGGTCATCACAAAGAGGGTATTGCAATAGTATTTCCTTCCTCCTTCTGTTTTTCATTTGTCTTGTACTTAGGATTGACTTGGCTGTGAATAGTTTAACTTAATAATTTAACACACTTCTTTCAAGAAAGCCTGCTGGGGAGCACATCTGACCGACAGCTCCTCGCTGCTGCATTTGTGCATCCACCCTGGGGTTCATGCCAATCCATGCTCTCCCAGGCTGCTCGCAGGAGGCTAGAGGGAGGGGACTGGAGCAGAGCCATTTCTGCCTGACTTGGGACTCTGGAAAGGACAAGTTTTGCTTGGGGCTTCCCACTAGCTGGGCTGAGGCTGCCTCAGAGCTGTGCTGTGGTCAGAGCCCCTTCCATGTGATCCTCCCTCCCTCTCCTTCCCCTTTCACACCGTGACACCTGCATCACGGTCTAAGGGCTCACTGCCTATTCCTGCTCCTCTTCCCTTTCTCCTGTTTAGGTGTTTCCCCCAAGAAATCTCTTGCTCATCTAATTCCATCTTGGTCTTTGCTTCTTGGAGAACCCAAACTGACACATGCTCAAATATTTCAGCAGGGGCTTTACCTGTGAGGATTGTGAGGGTCAGTGTACCTGAAGTAGTACCAAGCAGAATCAACGAAGGTATCCATTGTGTCTGTCTCTCTCTTGGCTGCTCCCTTGCACCTAAGAAATCAATGAAATTCATCAATTGGTTTCTTTAAAAAAATGTTTTTGTTTGTTTGTTTTGAATTGGGGTCTTACTCTCTTGCCCAGGCTGGAGTGCAGTGGCATGAACATGGCTCACTGCAGCCTCAATCTCCTGGGTTCAGGCAATCCTTCTACCATAGCCTCCTGTGCAGCTGGAGTAGCTGGGGCTAGTTGTATGCCATCACGCCCAGCTAATATTTTTGATTTTTTTTATAGAGATGAGGTCTTACTATGTTGCCTAGGCTGGTCTCAAACTCCTCGACTCCAGCAATCCTGCCTCAGCATCCCAAAGCATTATATTACAGGCACGAGCCACCACACCCGGCTGGGTTTTTTTTTAAAATTTTAAATGCACTAACTTTTGAGAGAGCTATGATGAGTATGAATTTAAAATGTCCTAAGAATAATGACACATCACGAAAAGACAATTCAGAGAAAGCTCTCTTTTTGTATTGTACAGAACATGATGTTTTAAAGAAATCTACAAAATAAAATTTCAGTTTTCAACAATTAAAAGCCTTATTCTCCACTGCTCTGAATTTAACCTGGTAGAAAAATCTAACCACTCAAAAGGACAAAAATTAAGAGTCTCTTTTGTGCACTAAAGCGTCTCTTTTGTTCGAGGCATGTCAAGGCTGCCTTTAGCCAATGCCTACTTTATGATGCTTATGAAGAGAACTGAAAGCCAAATGTAGGGAGGTGTGTTGAAAATACACTTGGGTTTTTTTCTACTTCTGCTCTAAGGTGAGGGTTGCAGAAATCTGCTGGGATGACCTGAGGAAGATAAATCATCTTGGAAGCCCCAGAGGCTGTGGGTGCTAGAGCCAGCTCATATCAGTTATGAGAATCAATTGTTAGCATCTCTTCCCAACTCTGTGCCAAGTGACATCAAGCTGGTAGCTTGGAATTAATCCTGGTGGGAGTATGCACATCACAGAAATTGGCTAAAGCTACAAATCAGGACCCTCTTCCAGAGAGCTGGTTATTACATGTTTACTACCACACCATTGCCTAAAGAGAGGGTCCTTATGGAAGGGTAAAGAGAGCCCTAGTGTTCAAGACAGAATAAAGTGAGATACTTGGTGTGTGAAGGGATAAAAAGAAAAAGCAATCCCTTCCTAGGGATGGAGACACCCAGGGAAGAACATGGTCTTACAAGGGTTCAACAGCTACATAAATTCTTTTTTTTTTTTTTTTGAGTCAGAGTCTCACTCTGGCTACTGCAGCCTCGACTTGCTGGGTTCAGGCGATCCTTCCACCTTAGCCTTCCAAGTAGCTGAAACTACAGGCATGCAGCACCATGCCTGGCTAATTTTTTGATTTATTGTAGAGACAAGGTCTTGTCATAATTGCCCGGGCTGGTCTCGAAACCGTAGACTCAGGCAATCCTCTTGCCTCCACCTCCCAAAGTACTGGGATTACAGGCATGAGCCACCACGCCTGGCTGTACATGAATTCCTAAAAACATTCCTAGGATGGGGGCCTGAAAGAACCAGGTGCCAAAAGCCACACCACCTAGGAACTCCAGGGAGGGTGCCCTAGGTCAGGTCTAGCACAGAGGTGGGTTTAGCCTCCATAAAGACTCTTCTAGGCCTGGATAAGCAGTGAGCCAGCATCTTCTGTCTAGTGGGTAGAGCCCGCTGCCAACAGGGCCACTGTGTGGCAGTGTGAAGTGACAGCAGGGGCATGCAGCTCCCATTCCTGGCTCTCCCTCTCGAGGCATGGATGTGAGGCCAATTGCCTCTCCAAATACCTCACTTTGGGCAGTGTAAGTTCTGGAGGTTCTTGGAGAATTTGGAGAGGAGGGATAGAGTCCCAGGAGGAACTGATGAGTCTTCTGCTAATTTAGCATGCAAGGGCTTGAGTCTATTTTTAATTTAAAAAGAAAAGAAAAGCCGGGCTCGGTGGCTTAGCCTGTAACCCCGCGCCTTGGGAGGCTGAGGTGGAAGGATCGCCGGAGCCCACGGGTTCGAGACCCACCTGGGCAACTTGGCGAGACCTCATCTCTACAATAAATCAAAAAATTAGCTGGGCGTGGTAGCATGCGCCTGTAGTTCCAGCTACTTGGAAGGCTGAGGTGGAAGGATCGCCGGAGCCCAGCAGGTCGAGGCTGCGGTGGCCGGCAGCGGACAGAGTGAGAGTCCAACTCAAAAAAAAAAGAAAAGAAGGACTGCATTTATATCTTCCATTTGTGAAGTGGTTCATATTGGCTTTACAAATATCATTCAAGAAAACAGCTAATCTGCCACCCACACCCCCTGACCCCATGCCAGCTGATTAAATGCAAGTGGCTGAGTAGAGAGCATGCAAGTCCCAGATCTGACAGGTCTCTGGGACCCCAGGGGTCCCCTGCACTTTAATCAGGGCGCCCCCTACTGAAAACAGCGGTGGTCCCTAAGGGTAGGAATTTGTCAGAGACAACCCTCAGGAAATCCTGTTTCCTACCACCCAGGGCTGCTATAAGAAGCTGATCTCAACAGTGCATCTCTAAATTAAAGCCAGGTCTTTTTATTTGGAGTGCAATCAACCAGAACATGGGTACTATTTTGGGAAATAATTAGAAGATAAAGGTTACTTTTTCTCCCTCACCTAACTTGTGCAAGTGAGGGAAAAAATGTAGGGCTCAATTTAAAAATGGAATAACATCTGGCTAACACTAGTTATGCTGATTTCCATTTTATTAATTTTTTTATTTTGTAGAGACGGGTCTCGCTATGTTGCCCAGGCTGGCCTCGAACAATTCTTCCACATTGGCCTCGGAGAGTACTGGGGTTACAGGTATGAGCCATTGCTCCCGGCCTGATTTCCTTTTTAATGGTTCTGTTGAAGACAACTAACATGTTTTGTTGCTGATATTAAAAACTAGATGATAAGGAAAAGGTCACATGGTAAGCAGGAGGGATAGAAAGGATAGATGATGGCAATGACGTTATCAGTATTAGCTTCAGTAGTAATAATACTAGCAACAGGTAGCCGGCAATGAGTCAGATACTTCATGGGTTATTACCTAATTTAATCCCCAATAAACCTGCAAATTATAAGACAGATACTACTCATATTCCCATTTTGTAGATGAAGAACTAGGTCCTGGTGCCTGTAGATGATACCACTGTGCTGTCTTGCATGGCCACACTTGGTAGCTTTCAGCCTTGTCTTGGTAGCTCTCAGCCTTGGATGCTCATTAGGATCATACAGGGAGCCCCGACTAATGCCAAGACCTGAGCACTTGCCTCCAGGAATTCTGAAGCTAGGGTAGGAAGCCTTATCCTCACCAACAAGGCTACATCTGCTACGTTATCTGTAGCCACCAATGTCTCTGGTAGGGAAGCCCTTTGTCACTGTTTATTAACACTGAATGTGTGCTATTTTCTTCCTGGAGCCCACATTTCTTACTCCAAAATGGCCCAGAGTTTCCTACGAGCCTGTCTACAAGCTCCATCTTGAATTTCAAAACCACACGGGTGAGGACCTGGGAGAATGGATGGCAAGTACCTGGTAGGATGTTTCCGTTTATTGAATACCTGCTAGGTGTCACCATGCAGGATAGTGTGTGCTAATCCTAGTCTTTGGAATAGCTTCAGGGGGGTTATTTTAGTTCCTGATGAGGGAACTGAAGATCAGAGAAGGTAAGTGACTTTCCCAAGGCTGGACATCTAGTTATGAGATACCAGGCTTGAATGCATTACTGTCTGACTTCCCAGCTGAGACTTTCAATTACATGATGTGGCTACCAAATTGCCAACCCAGTAATTTAGCTCTATACTGGCAGAGGACTAAATTATTTCAAAACATCCTCATAATTATCTATAAGGCAGAGAAAAATGGCTTCTCCACACAGAAGGAAGAAAGAAAACACTAAAAGCTTGGTAGCTGCTATTTGTTTAATCAGCTGATACAGCATCATAAAAATCACACTGGAGACATGCCAGTGAATTGAAAAAAAAAAAATTTCACTTCTAAAATAGGAGAAAGGAAATATGCTGTGTTTCAGTATATTAAGAACGAAGCCCCTGAGCACACTCACTGTCTTAGCTATTACTCTGCTACTTGTGATAAAATCTCCACTGTTATCACAGTCACTATATTGGAGCACGGCAAGGCAGAGAAGAGAAAACCTTTTCTCTCATCTCCACGAAGTTCTTTGGAATATAAAATGGGAGAACATAGTCTTTCACAAAGCCGAGAGGAAAATTTAGAGCTTTTCCATCAGTTGGAGCAGATGTTTCTAGGATAGAGCTGAACGGACACTGCTGCTTCCAACAGTTTAGAGGAGAGGGGAGGGCACCCATCTCAGAGGCTGGCCACGAATTCCAGACACTCCTCTGAAAGGTTTCCAAAGACCTGTGGTATTCTTTCCAGCTTGGTGGAAGTCACAGAAAAAGGAAGCAGAGTAATACCAGGAGGGAGGAGAGTGTCTAAAACCCTAGCAGGGTGCTGAGGCCATAGGCACAGTCATACTTATGGGGACATGTCTCCTTACCTCGGGCAGGAGCAGTTCACCCACTCTGAAGCTGTGGCCAGTGGGGAGCCTCCCTTGCCGGTGAAAGACGTGATGTTAGGCAAGGTCACGGGCAAGTCCTCCAGGGGCACAGGCATAGGGCCACAGGTGGGGCAGTGGACAATCGGGATTGGCGTGCCCCAGTACCGCTGCCGTGAGATCAGCCAATCTTTCAGTTTATCACTTGTCACGTCTCCACCCACTCTCTTCTCCCGGGCTTTGTGCGTCAGGGCTAGAAAAGCATCCTGCCGGGTCATACCTGTGAACTGAGAGAGAAAGAAGAGACAGCACGTTCTTCCCTGCAGAAGTTACCACCACTGCGTTACCACCAGTGCTGTCATGTTTATGTGTGGCTCTCCCAAGGGACCTGTTCTATGCAGAGTCATATTATGATTTTCATGAGCCCTAGGTGCTTTTGCCTTTGTAGCCTTCTTCCTCAAGAAAAACATTAAAAATTATATTTACAACTGTGCTGACATGAAGATAAATATAATTTTTGACCCTAAAAGTTCATGTTTTGCTTCTGATTGTAAAAGAAATTAAAACACTGCCAGGAGCTCTTGGCACTCGGTCTACTGTGTCTAACAGGTAAGCTGGCCCTGGTTCTGTGGCCCTCCTTATCACCAGATCCCTGTGATACCGATAAAGATAATCAAATGTCAGCTTTTAGCTGTCAGTAAAGAACTGCATGATATGGATTTTTAATGACTACTCCCCTGTTGGAAGGAAAAATATCCAGAAAAGAAAAATTCAATATTATCCTAAAGCAGAAAGAATTCAGGCAAGCAGATGAATAAATTGGGGTCTCCACTTGAAGAACCAGACCACTCTTTACATATTTAAATGCTCCCATTTTATAGACAGCAGGGAAGAACAAAAGAGAAATTCTCTTTCCACCTGATGCTTTTCAGGTAACTAAATTAGTTACATGAATCAAGCCAATATGGCTAGAGAGAGATAACCCTGGCCAGATAAACAGGACTCCCAACTTCTCTGTTCATGGCTATAAATGAGTTAAACTTTAAGTGGAAATAAAATTACTAATGTGGAGAGTACATATCTCCTACAGGAAGAGGAGCCAGTTTCAGTCTCCTTTTCCAAGGAACCAAAGATTCCTTGGACGAGATAACAACTTTTCCCTTCACTGGTTTCCCATACCTAACAGCCTTCAGTTTCATCTTTACCACACTATTCTAGGATTGGATTTGATTTAGAATTGATAAACCTTCAGATATTGAAGACAATTACAATAAGTTCCCTACATATGGACCTTCAAGTTGCCAACTTTTTTTTTTAGATTAGAAAATACAGTTTATTTAAAAACTAAATTAGAAGGAGAGAGAGAAAGAGGAGATTCACCTCCACAAGGCAGGGAAGGGGGCCAATGCCAGGAAACATGGCCTGGTCATAGCTTAGACAGCACATGGCCACACCATAGCTTAGCAAGGCAACAGTCATGTTGCCAACTTTCAAAAGATGTGAGCGTGCATTCATAAGGTTAATCACGTAAGTTAGTTCACGTGTCAGGCATATGATGTTATGTGCGTGCATCCTCTACAAGTGGTTGTGCTTTGTGAACTTTACTGTATAGTCCATTACTGTATTCCCCCAGTTAGTAACTCTTCTTGTCTGTTCACTTGATGTCATCTCCTGTATGTCAGCTGTTGTACTGTACTGTACTTTTTCTTTTTTGAGTTGGAGTCTCACTCTTGTCACCCAGGCTGGAGGAGTATAGTGGCATGCTCATGGCCACCGCAGCCTCGACCTGCTGGGCTCAGGCTTCTGCTTCAGTCTTCCAAGTAGCTGGAACTATAGATGCATGCCACCACACCCAGCTAATTTTTAAATTTATTTTAGAGATGCGGTCTCGCCAAGTTGGCCACACTGGTCTCGAACCCCTGGACTCAGGCAATCCTCTTGCCTCCACCTCCCAAAGTGCTGAGATTGTAAGCGTGAGCCACCGTGCGCAGCGTATTTCACTTTCCAAGGTACTGTACTGTAAGATTAAGAATATTTATTTTTTGTGTTTTTTATGTATTATTTATTGAAAAGTATTATAAACTTATTACAATATAGTACTATATAGCCGATTGTGTTAGTTGGGTACCTAGGCAACCTTGTTGGACTTAGAAACAAAATAGACTTACGAATGCACTCTCTGAAAAGAACCTGTTCATATGTAGGGGATTTATTGCATTTTGTTTTCATAGATGAATAGGTTTGTCAACTCTAAATCAAATCCAATTCTAAAATAGTATGGTAAAGATATGAAGCTAGAGGCTGTTAGGTATGGGAAACCAGTGAAGGGGAAGGTTGTGATCTGCAACAGAAGGAAAATGTCTCATCAAACTCCTACCAAGGTCATCATTTTAGAAGTTCTTAGTTTTGTGCCATGAAGTACCAACCTCAGCAGAGCTGCTCAGTCTCTCTGTGCCATCTGGCAAACTTTCAAGGACTTCAGAGTAGGGCAGGCCCAAGGTTTGGGCTAAGATGGTGTCCTCTAAGCTGGTGCTGGGAATTCCTATTCAGAGGGGAAGAAACACAAAATGTCTCCTTTGGAAGTGCCCAAATCACAAAAGAATCAACAGTGCTGACATTCAGCTTTCACTTCTTAAAGGAGATTATCGCTTTTAGTTACAGAAGTTATGAAACCAAATCACATTAATTGGGAAAATAAAACAGCCTTGGAGAAACCTACCACCCTAACACAACCAGCTGACCATACTGGTATTATTTCCCATAAGTTCTTTTCCTCTTCTTAGTTTCTTTCTTTCTTTTTTTTTTTTACTAGTTGTAATCCTAAGACACACAGATTTGAGTGCTTTTTGCCACTGAAACAGTAAATCACAAGCATTTGGGGAAGCTTCTTTGAATTCCCTCAGTGACAGGGGATAGTAGTTTCTCTCGATAAGCAGGACTGACCTTTCCAGCATCTCCTAGCACCCAAGCAAAATCCACTTAGTCAGGAAGTTGAAATCTGGCTATTGTGTTTTGTCCCCAAAGGCAATAGTACATTTTGAGTAGACATTTATTCTTCAAGCCCACATATGTCCTTGAGGAGAAGTCGAACATTAATAAACCACTACCCAGAAGGGCCAAGGCCTGCTGTTTTGGCTTCAGCTATTCATAAAAACTGGGGTTTTCAGCTGTTGGTTCTGCAAGGGCAGGGTTTCTCAACTTTGGTACTGCTGACATCATAGACTTTGTTATGGGGATTGTCCTATACATTATAGGATGTTGAACAGCATCCCTGGCCCCTGCCAGAAGTACTCCTTGAGTTACTACAAATAAAAATGTCTCCAAAATTGCCAAATGTTCCCTGGTGGCACAGTCCCCCTGGTTGAGAACCACTGCTACAGGGTCATCTGTCAAACATTCATGTGGTAACGAAGAGACATAAAACTAAGGAGAGTGCATAAAATGCTGAAGTCAGACCTTGGAACCACTTCTCTGGAATCCTGCCGTAAAAGGGTGACTGAATGGTTGGGAGACATGTTCTAAAGCTCTTTGGTATAATGAAAGCTCTGTAACATGATGGAATATTCTGCAGTGTTCTAGCTGAGATTACTGACAAAAAGCATCTAATGTAGTGAATAAATGTTGAGCGGACTTGAAGGATGAGGACAAATGATAAGCAATAAACAGTACCAAAAAGTGTTCATGGTCAAGAAGGGAAAACAGACATTTATTATTTTGCCAAAATAGGGCTTGGAATAACTAGAAGTAATGTTCAAAAGGAGACATCATAACCACAAAATGTATTTGGCCATTTGAAGAATGTCCCAGGCCATTGAGTTGAGTTGGTTATGTGAAGTTCTACTGAATGAGAATTTTTTTTTTGAGTCAGTCTCACTCTGTCATCCAGGCTGGAGTGCAATGGCATGCCCACGGCCACCCCAGCATCGACCTGCTGGGCTCAGGCGATCCTTCCGCCTCAGCCTTCCAAGTAGCTGGAACTACGGGTGCACGCTACTATGCTCGACTTATTTTTTTTTGATATATTGTAGAGACGAGGCCTCACCAAGTTGCCCAGGCAGGTCTTGAACCTGTGGGCTCAGTTAATCCTTTCGCCTTGGCCTCCCAAAGTGCTGGGATTATAGGTTTGAGTCACCACACCCCTCCTGAATGTGAACTGTTTTTAACAGTGCAGGTGAAATAGCAAAAATACCACTTTATTTCTTGTGTATTTCTGCTTCTGTTCTTCTCTTGGAGGGCAAAAAGCAACAATTTAGAAAAGTATGCCATTGTGGGAAATTAAGACCACAGTAGAAATAATTTTCCATGCATATCTAAGAAATTTGATTTTTCCTTTAAAACTTTCAAGATTGTATCAGTGATTTGACTCAAAATTCCAAACAAGCAAGCAAAAAAGCCACATCAATAAGAGCTTCCTTTACTGTTTATTCTGGATAGTTATAGTAATATATTTTACTAATTATAGAATGCATAATGGTATCAGAAAGAATCATTTCTTTAAACAATACACTTTCTAGGTTTAAATGGTCAGAAGAGAATGACATCTGCTTGTGAGCAGATGACTTATCTTGTGGTGAGCATTCTAAATTATCCTCATGTAACAGGAAGTCTGAGAATGTACAAAGAGAAGGGAACCTCGGGTTGGTTGTGGTGGCTCATGCCTGTCATCCCAGCACTTTGGGGAGGACAAGGTAGGAGGATTGCTTGAGCCTAGGAGTTCAAGACCAGCCAGGGCAACATAGTGAGACCTCATCTCTACAAAAAAATTAGCTGGAAATGGTGGTGTGCACCTGTAGTCCCAACTACTTAGGAGGCTGAGACAGAAGAATCTCTTGAGTCTGAGCAGTCAAGACTGTGTGAGCTGTGATTGTGCCACTGCACTCTAGCCTTGGTGACAATGAGGCACCGACTCAAAAAAAAGAAAAGAAAGAAAGAGAAGGGACTCTAAGACAGCTCTGTCCACAATCCTCACATGTCTAACTCAGTGGCCTGGGACATTCTTTCAATGGCCAAATACATTTTGTGGTTACAATGTTGCCTTTTAAATATTACTCCCAGCTATTCCAAACCTGATTCTGGAATGTAGTAAATGACCATCTTCCTTTCTTGACCACAAACACTTTTTGGTACTATTTACTGCCTGCCATTTCTCCTCAGCCGTATCAGTTACCTGCTATCATGTTTCTTCAAACAACTTATCAAAAACTGATCTGAGCGTTATGAGGAAACAAAAATGTGAACTTAAGAGATGTTACATTTTCTGTGTGCTAGAAAAAAGTGTGAAAATAACTTCTTCTGCAAGGTTTTGGTACCTTGGAGACTGGCTGGAATTTCCAGTAGGAATGCTGGTGTTGAGAGCTGCACAGGTTTAACCTAGAGGAGGGAGACTATGGATGGAGCTGTCTCAGGGTCAGGTCTAACCTAGAGGAGGGGACCATGGAGTTGTCTTAGGTTCCATTCTCTTGTTCATTCTCAGACTTCCTGTTATATGACGATAGTTTAGAATGCTCACGAATGAGTAAGGCTGCCAAGGACATCCAATTTACAGTTCTAAATATGCCTTTAATTTTACTGCTGTTTCACAATCCTTTTCTTGAATAGCTTGAGTTCACCTCCTCCACAAAGCCTTCACCAAAAACCCAGCCCACATCGATCATTTGTGCTTTGAACCCCCATCTTAGCAGTTGTTTCTATGTGTTTTTTTCTTTTTGAGTTGGAGTCTCACTCTGTCACCCAGACTGGAGTGCAGTGGCCGCTCCCGGCCACCGCAGCCTCGACCTGCTGGGCTCCGGCGATCCTTCCGCCTCAGCCTTCTGAGTAGCCGGAATTACAGGCA